TCTCTCTAGAAATCTCTAAGTCTTTAAGCATGGCTGGAAGAAATTGAGAATACAATGACACTGAAGGACCTAGGGACTCATTACAAAGGCCAGGTGAACTGTCCCATTTTGCCGGGCATTGTGGCAAAAGAAAAGGGGCAGTGGGGAGAATCTGTCACTTTGGTTCAATTTATGGAGTCATGGGAATTGTGGTTTGATGAGTCACCAATACGCTTTGGCAGAGAAGGCTAAAGACCTTGAAAAACTACCACTCTGGTGATTCCATAGCATTGAACCATGGCAGTTAAAGTGGTGTCAAACAGCATTAATTCCATAATGTACATGCACCTCTAGGCAGAACCTTTTAAATCAAATTTGTGAAAAAATAAATCCAGAAAAACCAAAATTGCAAATGTGGAGGGATGACTGTATTGAAATGTTAGCCTGGTATCCCTTATACACTTACTGGCAGGAACTCTTCAAGGTTTCAAAAAAGCATTTGAGTAAGAGTGCCTTCTTTTCATGTGAAACATGAGCTTTACCACTGAACTCTTATCCCTCCCCTGAGTACTGTTAGATCAGAACTATTCTCGTTTTGCAGATGAGAAGAGACCAATATTATGGTTTCTTGAGAGCTATCTGAAGAATTCATGTCTTAGTTCATATATACAGCATAACCTTCTAAACATGTTGAACCAGATGTTAAAACAGTTCAAGGAGATAATATATTATTAATCTTTTTAAAGATATATAAACCACTGCTTTGTCCACAGGGGATTCTAAGGTATGTCGAATTTTAAAGAAACAAATCAAATTGAAACTCATTAAAGCCATAAAGGAAAGAGAGGGAGTCTAAGGAAGCTTAAGCATAATGGGTCTAAAAAGGGGGAAATTGTTTAAGTGAACAAGGTTGAAAATGTTGGCATGAGTCAGACTGTTTTATTCTTTGATAAATTTGATTTAAATTTAATGTTTTACTCTGAAAAATACAATTTTTTATAGACAGAAAAGTACAGGTTGTGGCTTTTACAAATAATTGAGCAAGGAAGTGGGGAATTACATGTTACCAGCTGAATATCCCTTATCCAAATGCTTGGGATCAGAAGTTTTTATGATTTTTTTTGGTGATTTTGGAATACAGTACATATATGCACATAAAGAGATAACTTGTTTCACATGTATACATAGTATACCCATAACCAGAAGGTAACTATATACATATTTTTAAAAAGTATTGGTGCATATTAAGCCATCAGAAAAGTGTCACTTTCTTAGTTATGTATATTGATAATTTTGGATTTTCAAGTATTTTAGATTTTGAAATGTTGTATAAACCTGTATTATAAGTTTTCTGCAGTAATATGTGCAGCACCTCCTGACATAAGTCATATGTTTGGTTATGTATACAAGTTATATACAGAAATATCTTGACCATTTGACAGAGAATGGTTAGTTGAGAGGTTTTTCCAGCCAAATTCAGTACTGTCTTGTTTCAGGGAGCTATCCATATCCTCAGAGGAATACCCATATAGTTCAAGAGAAGAAATAGAGAAAATAAGGCGGTTCATCAGGGTCCGTAAGAGCAGAAGTGTGATCATTGCATGCAAGTTTCTGAGTCTAAAAAGCCAGGCAGAAAGTTACCAGAGAAAATAGGGCAAGGAACAATCTGAAGTTCAGGTCCTTGTGGCCTTGGCTATGTTTGGCTGGTTGTAAATAATTGCAGGTGGCTTAATTATCTCAGTAATTTCTTTTTAAAGCATGCCAGTACATTCCTGCTCAGTTGCTACTGCTTCTTTCCTATCAGAAGAGTGCAAAGGTTCTTTTTCCTGCTCTTTAGGGTCTCCATGGCGTGGCCCAGTCTCTGCTTTCTCAGACCGTCATCCACTTGTGGCTGTGACTGGAGTCTACCATCTAAGCTCACATCTTTCTCTTTACATTGTCAGGGCACCTACTCCAGTTAGGACATGACAATGCCCAGCACTTATATTTTTTTAAAAAAATGACCCCATTAACTACCATCACAATGTTTGTCAAAAATATGGATTTTTGGACAAACCTAAGCAAAGTTATGTTTCTTCCAGCTTGATGAGCTGCAGTTGACAAAAAAGGTATAGGAAATTGATAATAAAAGTGAAAGATATTTTGGGGTAAGTATGATGAGCTCACACTTCCCTCTCTATTAGTCAGAATATAGTAGAGATAACTCCCGCATGAGTTTCAGTCATCAAAATGATACAACATGAGAGGCAATGCAAGATGAAGAGCAATTTGAACAATTACTCAAATCAAATTGTAAAGACCACAGGTTTCAGAAACAATTCATTCTGGCAGCAGCATCTACTTGAAACTTCTATCTTCTTAAAAAGAAGGTGCATTTCTCCTGCTTTTGGGGGCCTCCTGCTAATTATTGCCTAGGCATGGCTTAATTGTTTTCAAGCCGAATGGGAGACATTTACTCATACTTTGAACCTCTCTCAATTCTCCATCTCTTTTTGCTGGTGTGTGTCTCTGTGGGATGTAGAGTATAAGATAAGATAAATAAGTGGTTCTCAAACTGTGGGTTCCCAGGTGTTTTGGTCTACAACTCCCAGAAATCCCAGCCAGTTTACCACTGTTAGGATTTCTGGGAGTTGAAGGCCAAAACATCTAGCGACTCACAGTTTGAGAACCACTGGATTAGATAGTTATATGGGTTTTGCAAGCATTATGTACTAGTTGTGATGCTTCTTCATAGCATTTCTTATTTACTAATGGAGTCATTGTGTATATTTTAATTGTGTATTTTATAAAATTCTCTTTTAAATTAGCTCTGAATGAGTTGACTTCTATTTGTCTAAAAAGCACTGCTGCCAAGGTCACACGTTTATTTCCATCCATACATACTCAAAGATTGCATGAGTTCATATGTGTAGTTTGAAATCATTCCTGGTAACAATGTATTTAAATAATGGTTTATATTACTTTAACTGTAAAAGCACTGACTCAGAAATAATGAGTTGTGTCTATGTCTTTTCAAATAATTTACTTCCTTTTATTCACAAAGAAGCATATCAAAACTGATAGTTGAAAATCTCATTTGTTCTAATAATACTCAATATTTGTACAAGTTCCATCTGTACCATGGTATTTTTGTGACCAAAAATGGATAATAACTCAATTTTACACAGCACGTAACTGATGTTAGATTGATGCGAAATGTTGTAACTTGTCCAAATTGTACAGCAATTTTCTAGCAGAGCTGTGTCTGAAGAATGCCTTTTTTGACTGCAAGTTAACTTACTTAAGTTAATAAAACTTTCATTTATACTAGCTTTGTTCTGAAAATCTGCAAATGTCTTATTGACTTTAGTCTGAAAACACGTGACTATGTTTTCCAAGAGTCTGGCCTGTTGCATAAAGAATTGCCAATTATTACTGGGGATTAGTACATTTAAATTTCCCTGTTGGGTTCTGAGGCTTTAACATGTAATTACTTAACGTCTTCCCTATAGCTAATGAGATTCATGATTACAGAACTTCAAACACCATAAGATCTGTTATAATAAAATTGTATAAATGTTAGCATGTTACTATTTTAAAAATACTATTTGTTCTGTGCTCTGTGCACTAAAGAGAAGACTTTGGAGCTTGAACAAATAACAATGCTGTCTTGTAAATACTAGTGGTCACAGTTAGTTTACTAATTCAAGCCTGGTTAATGCTTCAAAATATTTACTATCCAATTTATGAACAGAAAAAGATTTCTGAATTTGCTATAAAGATGGAGATCAGAAGTAGCCACTGGCTTCCATGTCAGAGGACCTTCATGCGCCAAATGGGTCCAGCACCTTGGGCAGCCATTTTGAAAAGTGGAATAAAACCTAGAATGGCTTTACTGTATCATAGACATGAAAACCTTTGTCCAAACATGATGAAGGACTTTTGACTGCTTTGTGTTAGCATGCTTTTCCATTATAACTGTGGCTCATACTTGGTTTAGCAATACAACCAATGAAAATTAGTAATGGAGCAATCTGTGGCAATTATGAAACTACAAATAGGAAATGTATGCATTAATGCTCTCCCAGAATGGATTCACAGCAAAGGGAAAATTCAGATACCTATCAATATGATCTAACCTCTTCTTTCAGTTTATGTATGTGTCCCACATTTTTGAAATAATAGAAGTATTTAAACATGGTTCTATATCTTGATTAGAAATTATGGCGTCCATGCTACCTTCCAGTTCTGCTGCACTACATTGTACAAGGACATACCTTGGTGTCCACAGAATGAGTTTCCTGATATTGAGGGAAGAATCAGAGAACCAAGTTATTGCCAACAGTGGGGCCCTTTATATGGTAGGCTCTCATTTAACTGGAACACATGGGGATTGGTAGATGCTGGATAAATGTAGTTTCTGGTTGTGTAAGCGTTACTATTAAAAAAAAGTCTAACTATATCCCATACTATCCCCTACCCCAAACTCTGTATTGACTTGATATTAATATTTAAATGCATTAATTAAAAAATAAAGACAAATTTAATATCACACAGTTTTAATATATTATAAAAACAGCTTTGTGAATGCAGTATTCTTTCTGTTTTACCTATAGCTTGAGAGTTCCAGTTAACTGAGAATCTACTGTATGGATCAGGTATTTTGGAAAAAAAACACCCTGAAAGGGTGATAAAAGAATAGCACTTCATACACATTGTAAAGTACTTCCTTGTCAGCCAATCTGTATCAATTACCACATGCACAAACTTAATAAACATCTAAGGTGCTGGCTGTTTGCTGTCACTATGTGAGAAACCCAATTATGCACATTGTGTCTAAGTGAAGCCATTGACCTAAATCTAGTTGTTAGACCCAATTAGAGCATATCCACAGCATCCATGAAACAGAAGCTTTGACCTACTCCTTTGTAGATAAATCTGTAGATCTACTCTAGTTGACACTAACAATTGAATTTATATGGTTTAAATTCTGCATGTATGTTGTGTGCATCACTGATTGATCTTTCTTTTGGTTATATTAGAAATCATGAAGAAACCCTGGAGTCCTAGTGCATCCCAAGACAACGTTCCCTGTACTGCAGATTTTTCTTGTTTGCATGAAAGAGAAGGTGAGCCAGAATTAACATCTGATGACAGCGAGGAGAAAAAAGAAAGCGAGAAGAAACATGCCAGTTTTACTTTATGCAATGTATGCAACATTCAGTTGAACTCTCCTGCTCAGGCACAGATCCACTACAATGGCAAATCACACCAGAAAAGACTAAAACAGATCAGCAATGGGAATCTAAAAAATGATCATGGTAAGCTTTTTGCTATTTTCCATGTTGTGATGGCTGTTTATGCCTACCAGATTTATTTTGAAGCTGTATCTGCTGTAATTTTGAAATAGTGGTTGATTCAATTTTGGTGCCATCGTGATGCATTGCATGATTTGCACAATTCCGATATGATTTAGAAATATAATGCAAGCTGAAGCATTGGATTTTACATACCTCATATTTATAAATAGCAAGTTTTGAGATTTCTTGGAGAATGAAAGGTGCAGTTCAGATGATTATACTTTAAAAATATGTTGGTGTGGCTGTTTAGTTTACATCTTGTGTTTTTTTTTGGAAGATATAATCTAGTTTGGAGATCCTGAAGCACAGTGTAAATTTGGATACACTGGGGTACGGGGTTGCCAAAAAATGCTTTAATGGCATAGAGGGCCAGCATAGAGCCAACTGACCCCTGAAACAGGCACTTCATTGCATCCACTACTAACTGTCACTTTCACATCACAATTCTACCCCATATGCCTCTGGAGTGCTGGAATAAAACCCAACTGCATTCTCTGGTGGCTGTCAAGCTGCAGATTCTGGAACTGGTTTAAGGCCATCTCCTGTGGTTGAGGTAATTATATTCCTGGCCTGGAACTTGTTGCATAAATGACAATCTAATAATGTCCAAATTAAACTGGTTTCTGCCAAACCGGTTCCAAACCAAAGTGGTCAGTGTAGAAGGGTCTTCTGTCATTAGGTAGCAAGCCCTGGATCCTAATCCAGTGGCACCTTTTTACTTATGTAAAAAGATAGAAAGTGGATGGGAACAGAAACTAGAAATGATATTAAAGCTCTCAGAATTTTCTAAACATCTATTGCCATACGAGTTGGGGAAATCATAGCAGCTGAAATGAAAAAGGTAACTTTTTGAGCTTTGAACATGGAACATTCATTCAGACGCCTATTTAACTACTCATTTCAGTACTTTGTATTATTTTCCACAACATATGTATTGAGATAATAATCCTAATTCACATCTCAATTTATATTCTGCAACAATTGGATGTGTATTATCTGCCAAAAATATTATTGTGACACACTGACTAGAAACTGCATTACAACAGTAGAATGGGAAGACAGAAAACATTACTACAGTTGTTTTGGTGTCTCTTATGTCATGTCATCGCTTGCATTTTGAGTGGCAACACAGAGGTTCCAAGGGCTTTTTTTATAATCAGTGATTCTGTCAGATAGTCAAAACACCGGATAGATGTTTGACAGAGTGAAGTAAAAATATTCACAATGTGATTCCTTATTAGTTGGAAACAATAGGGACCAGTTGGGATGGTGCAGGGAGGAAAGAAAAGAGAATGTTACAAAAACTAAGATCTTTGCAAGAGATATTTTCCCCTTAGAAAATCCCTATTTAAAGTTACAAACTTTTGCTCTCCCACCAGTGAAATCATGAGATAACACCACAGTGTGGGTTAACTATGGGCAATGAGGCTAACAGTGAAGGTATTGGTTTTATATGTTTTTAAAGGTTTTAATGTATGTATTTTATAATTTTGTTTTAAATGTATATTGTTAAGGCATCAAATGGCTACCTGGTTGTAAACCGCCTTGAGTCACCTCCGAATTCAAGAAAGGTGGGGTAGAAATATTGTAAATAAATAAATAATGTGTTACCAGTCAATTTCAGTGTCATCTACAAACCAAATTTAAGGATTTAAACATAAATTTGAATTTGTACATGAATTTGAACTTACACTTAAATTTGTTATGTTATAACATGAGACAGTGGCCTTCAGAGACCACATCATCCTCCACCAAGGGTGAGACACCACAGTACCTGGATGCAACCCACATGTTGCTCCCAAGGGGACCCATCAGGTAAACGGATGGAGAATTTTGCTTCAATCTCCCCCTCCTGTGGTGCACACCTATATGTACCTGTGCCTATTACACACTTGAAGCCTATTTAGGACCCTCTCACCCAATTTGCCATGGGTAGGTGAGCCACCCCCTGCTTCCTGGGAACTTAAGGGAGAAAAAAATCCTACCTGGCCCTGTTGGTGTCCTTTGTAAAGTACACTGCAGAGTTTGTGGGTGGGTGGGTCAGCATCGTTGAGGAAGTAAAGTGGGCAGTGAGTGCACTCTGACTGGCCCTCCTGATGTGGTTCAGCCAGATGGCAATGAGGGGATTGGGGTTTTGGGGCCTGTTGGTCTATAAATGAGGAAATGGGTTTTAGAGCAAAATGCTATTTCTGAGAGAGTTTTATAACAAGATGCTGTTTCTGAGGTGTGAAAGTATAACTGTTTTAGAATCCAACAGATAGGGAGAGGAGGATAACATCACCTCATCTGAGGGAGCAGTTGACTTAGACAGTGATATCAGGCTGCTTCTAAGGGGCAGAGATTCAGGTGCTGAAAGTCAGAAAGAATCCATGAGAAAGAGAGGCTGAAGCATACCCCTCAAGGTCAAAGAAATGTGTTCATGTCTTGCAGTCCTTAAATTAGAAAGAGCTCTGTTGGGAGTTTAGATGAAGCAATGTCGCTATTCATGGAAGGAACTCCTGTCTCGTTCCTATCTCAAGCTTTTGTTCAAGACCGTAGATTTATGCTCATGTTTTTGCTCTTTGTTACCTTTGGATTCCTGCTCATGTTTTGCTCCTTGTTTACTGGATTTATTTTAGGATTCATGTTCATCTTTTAATCCTTGCTCCCTGGATTTATTCTCATTTTTGGACTCTGGTGACTCCTGCTCTCTGAAGCAGCTTTGAGCTGTTTGGATTATTGCCTTGTGACTTGCTTCCTTTATTATCACATTGGATTATTACCCTTCCTTTTGCTTATGGTGTTTTCCCCTTCTTATATGTGTCTATCAATAAACTGTTTATTGTCACATGTGGCTTCCTGGTGAGTGCTGTGAGCAAGGTGAACTCCTGCTGAGGTGCAACACCCACCCACAACAAATCCCAGACAGGACTATTTTGTCTTTCCCTTCACTGGAAGCGAGCAAAGCGCTTCCCCACCCTCATGCTGAGGGCAAGAAAGGAATTGCTCTCCCACCTGTGAAATCATGAGACAACACCACCATGTGGGTTAACTATGGGCAACTTTTATTATATGCTACCAATCAATTTCTGTGTGATCTACCAATCAAATTTAAGCAAGAGATATTTTCCCCTTCAATCCTTATTTATAGTTGCAAACTGGAAATGATAGAATATTTTGTCTAGCTCCAGATCTGGCATAAAGTCTTTTCAGAAGATACTCTTGGATTGTGTGCCCTTAGGGGGAAAAAATCTAATGTAGGGTTTGTAATGAGTTACAAAAACAAAATGTATTTTCTGTTAATGCTATATATTAGCTGGTAGAAAATAATGGCATGATAAAAATGCTAGAAATTTTCCATTTCTTTTATGAATCTCATAGTAATCATTTTGTTCCTTTGAACAGGGAAGTAAAATATATTGAGACATTTTAGCCACAGCAGGTAAATATTTTCGTCTTCCTTCACAAGGAAAAAGATGTTATCAGTGACATGTCTATTAAAGTGTGGATCTGGTGGAAAAGCATACAACTTCAGGAGATAGATAGATAGATAGTCATGGAGGACCACTGCCTATACCTTTTCCACAGTTGAGAGCAACATAGAGCCTTCTGGATGTTATTGGACGGTAAGTTCCAGTACTAAGAGCATTAGCATTTCATATACTAATGATGATCTGGGTGAGGGCAAACAAATTAAAACTGAATCCAGAAAAGACAAAGGTACTTCTGGTCAGTAGTAAGGCCGAAAAGGGCATAGGGTTACAGCCTGTGTTGGATGGGGTTACACTCCCTCTGAAGACACAGGTTCGCAGCTTGGGTGTGAACTTGGACTCACTGCTGAGCCTAAAATCCCAGGTTTCGGTGGTGACCAGGGGAGCATTTGCACAGTTAAACTTGTGCACCAGCTGTGCCCGTACCTTGGGAAGTCTGACTTGGCCACAGTAGTCCATGCTCTGGTTACATCCTGTATAGACAACTGCAATGCACTCTTAGTGGGGGTGCCTTTGAAGACTGTCTTGCAGCCTCAAATGGTCCAACAAACGGCAGCCAGATTGCTAACAGGAGTGGTGCTCAGGGAGTGTACAACTCCTCTGTTGCGCCAGCTCCACTGGCTGCTAGTTTGCTACCAGGCACAATTCAAAGTGCTGGCTTTAGCCTATAAAGCCCTAAACCGTTCTGGCCCAACGTACATGTCCGAATGCATCTCTCCTTATGAACCATCTAGGACCTTAAGATTGTCTGGGGAGGCACTGCTCTCGTTACCGCTTTTGTCACAAGTACGTTTGGCGGAGACGAGAGACAGGGCGTTCTCAGTGGTGGCCCCTTGGCGGTGGCTCTTCCTATAGATATTAGATCGGCCACCTCCCTTTTAACATTCCAGCAAAAAGTCAAGATGTGGCTTTTTGAACAAGCATTTGCAAATGCAGAGTAATTGACGTAGGAAAATGGAACGACTAGACAATGAGTCCGGATGTTTTTAACAAGGAGACACTATGAATTGTTTAGATTTTATTATATGTTATGTTTTTAATTATATTTATGTCATTGTAAGCATTGAATTTTGCCCTGTTAACCGCCTTGAGTTGCCTACAGGCTGAGAAAGGTAGTGTACAAATACAGTAGATAAATAAATAAATATACACCTGTTTTGTGGCCTGAAGGAGTGTATTTCTTACAATAATCTGCCACTTTATTTATGCTTTCAAAACATAATAACTCTCTGTTGGTCCATCCTTGATTCAGCAAAGATCCCTGTGCAAATAAATTTTATACTTTGATCTCTGTTTTCTGCACGAACTCTTTTGCTGTCCTCTTTTTTCCAAATGCCTTTTCTCAGCATCAGTCTTCTAGGATTCTTATAAATCCCCTTCCTGCAGCTTGTACACATGTGCTGTCTATCAATTAAGTGTTCTTTTTACACTGGTGTTTAAACAGAATGATCAGTGTTCACCGTTGTTTTGCATTTGTTGCCATACTTCTTA